TTTATCCTGTAAATACATGTTGAGGGCCCGCCATGTGCAAAACACCGTGTCAGATGCTGAGGATGTAATGATAAAAACTGCCAAGTCCCCATCCTTGTGGAAATTCAAGTCCCAAAGGAATGATAGATATTAAACAAGTAATCATGAAAATGAATACATAAGTACCAACTATGATGAGTACCACAAAAGAACTCAGAGAATGAGATTTAAGCTGAGACCTGAAGGATGGTATATTTTTATGGCTGCTACGAGAAATACCAAAGACTTACTGGCTTAAAACAACACAAGTTATCTTACAGTTCTGAAGGTTAGAAGTCCAAACTGGGTCTCAGTGGGATAAAATCAAGATATTGGCAGGCTTTGTTCCTTCTAGGGAACCTGCGTTTTTTTCTTTATCCATCTTCTAGAATCTTCCCACATGGCTTGGCTTGGGGTCCCTTTCCTCCTTCTTCAAAGCCAGTGAAATTGCATCTTTCTGACCATTTTTTTCCCCCATAGTAACACTCTTTCTTTGACTAACTTCTGTCTCCCTCTTCCACTTTTAAAGGACCCTATGATTATATTGGGTCCAATTGGATAATCCAGGATAATCTCCCTAGTTTAAGGTCAGCTGATTAGCCATCTCAGCTTCACCTGTGACCTTAATTCCCCTGTGGGGAATGTGGGTCTCTTTGGTAGGTCATCATTTTGACTGGCACAGGTGGGTAAGAGCAGTTGGTGAGTGGGGCCAAGGGTGGAGGGTGAATTTCCAAGGAGAAGCACACAGGTGGACACACCTTGACATGGATTTCTGTTGAGTTAGTGAATAAGAAGAATGTGTTTGAAGGTGAATGAGGGAAATAGTGATGTAAACAAAAGTTTCAGAGGTGGACTAGATTTTTCATGGCCTTTTTTGACTTTGTTCAAGTGTTGTGATTTATTCCTACATGCACTGGGAGTCATTTAGAGAACTGAGTAGGGCATGGCATCGTGTAATTGGCATTTAAGGATTACTCTAGATCCTTGGAGGAGAGTAGACTGGGGAGTCCAGCCGTGAGACTGCTGTGGTTACCACATGGGGCAGTTTAAAAGAATATTTATTACAGGGCCTGACAATTAGTAGAGGGTGTCATGTCTATAGTTCTCCACAACCAGGCTTTTTTTCTGGCATTTCCCTCACAACATGGTTATTTTTCCCCATTCTGCTTCTCTCTCAAAGGCTCTCTTCATTTATGATGTCTGCCTTCACTTTCTTTTGCCAACTTTGAATCTGATTTAAGATCTGGCTCAAGATTCATGCCTCTAAGAAGTATTCAGTGACTGACTTGATTCCACATCAGTCACTGCCTTTGCTTGGTGCATATTTTGAACAGCATCACTCTCCACATATTTACTTTTAGCTTCACCGCCTTCCTCTTAATTAAATATGCTCTAGCGTCTCACTCAAGCACTTCCTTCCTGCCTCAGTTTCAGAGACACCATAACTGAGACAAACCAGAGAGTTAAATCTCCAATTTTGAACATTAGAAGGCCAAGGTCTAACATCATCTACCATGTCCTGATATCAAATATTGCAGCCTTGAGATGAGATATAATTTCCCACTGCTGACCACTTGGAGCACTGTTTGATTTTGCGTTAGACTAGGTTTTGCTGCAATAACAAATAGCATGGGTATTGCAATGGCTTATGACAAGAGAGGCTTAATTCTTGATCACACTACTTGCCTATTACTGGCCACGTATGGGCTCTGCTCCATTTATCATTGTCCTCATTCTGGGACTGAGACTAATGGAACCTGGCCCCTTTGTGGAACATTAGCACTGACCATGGTTTATGAGCTGTCTCAGCATTAAATGCTCTGGCCTCAAAGTCATGCACCTCTCTTCTATCTGCAACTCTGGCCAGAATAAAGATGACTTAAATGAGGCCAAAGAGGAGCAGGACAGAAGTACAGTTCTACCATGTATTGGAAGGACTTGAGCTAGAACATTTGACAGACAGCACGAATGACAAGTATTTTCATTGTGGTCTCGGGGGAGGTCAGTGCTTAGTGGTTCCTGAGATCTGATAACCAAATTATAGTACTAGAGTTTACAAGTCCAAGTCCACTCTCTATGAATTGTTCTGTAGGCCTGAGATCCTCCTGGTCTCCCCTCTGAGGTCCTGTTCTAATTAATAATCAACTTGTTTCCCCCAGTCACTGATAATGTTGGAAGCCTTGTTGTCTTCTATTTTAGTCCTCATCCTTAAGGACTGGGGTTTCCATGTGTTAGAGCTCTGCTACCTTCAGGCAAATCATGACATAGATAACAATGAATGCTCAAACTCCTGACCATTTTTCCAATTGAATTGCACGTGTTAGGAAGCCTTGCTTTTTGTTTTGTTTTGTTTTGTTTTGTTTTGTTTGGATTCTCTCATGTAGATCCTTTGCCTGAACAGAGAGAGATTCAGTCTGCAAACTACTATATCTTGACTTCTGCCCAGGAATTTCTAAGCGTGTGCTGTAACTTGGGTCTGAATTCCAGCATCCTCTCCCTAGTGGTCATGTCTGCTCCAGTCGTTAGCACCACTCCTTTTCTTGCTGCCAGTAAACAACCAAGCATGTTACCAGAGTCTATGGGTGTTTTTTGATTTTGTTCCCTTCATAATAAATTAAATTTCTAAATATCTTTTCCTTCTTCCATCCCTCATTTTTTTTTTTTTTCCTCTCAGAATCTAATGTGATGTGACACAGTGAATATAGTATTTAATAACCACTCCTTGGGTGAATGAATGGGGAGACACAAACTTATCATGGGACTCATTCAGTGTCACTAAATGCTTTGGTATTTCATGAGGGAAATAGGGTACTAATACTTAATTCAGGAAGGTATTAGGAGGATTAGATATGATCACTGTGGTACGCACTGGAATAGACACCCCTTCACAAGAAATGTCAATAATATTAATGACACGATGTGCCTGAGTCAGAGGCCGCCAGATGCAGAGTAGCGCCCTTTAGTGTGCCCCAGTGAGGGGTGAAACTTTTGTTTTCTTACCTCTCACCTACCACTGAGCTGCCTGCCTGCAGCCTTCCCCTGATTTGTAAGGAAAATGGCCCCTTAATTTATTTAAATTTTTGTTGTTGTTATTGGGAGGGTCAAACAAGGTGGATTCTTGAACAAATATGCAGATAAGTTTTTTCACTCTTCCACTTTGATATTTTTTTGCATAGTCATTGCATTGGTTTGATTTTGATCTGACACTTCAAAACTTCTTTTATAACTTCCTTGCATCATGAAAGATGATCAAGTTTAAATGAATAGAAAATGCAAATTGAAATATGGTACTGAAGCCTTTGAAATCTGGTATCTGTTTGGTTATCATTTTAATCACTCAACACAACATGATGAACTGTAATAATGTTCCGGCCTAAAAAAGTTTCTAAAGATGAGAGACCTGGACCTGTCATATTGTTTTGTCATCGCACTGAACAACCAAAGTAGAAATACAATGATGTTTTTATTAGTATCAGCTCTTGGTGAAATTTCAGTTAGTAAAGTGTTTGAAGTGAGTAACTTGACCAATAAATTAATTTTGTTGTAATCTTTAGACTACGGTGTAGTTCATTTTATAAGGTGACATGTTAACAGGTTTTGCATTCTTTTGGCTAAAAAAATTACCAGTTGTTAAAAGGCTATCAACCACTCTGAATTAATAGAGAGTTTCAGATTCTTTTGGCTTAACCTACTGCACATTTCAGAGAGATTTCCTAGGAGATATTCAGCACAGCGATGAGAGTTATCCGTATTGCTCTGCATGTCATAATAGTCCAGGTGCAGTCTACTTGAGCTGTTGGCTAGTGATGGAGTAAAGGCACAAAAATAGTCTTTCGAAAAAAAAAAGAAAGTGAAAATTTTATACTGAAAATCTAAATACACAGTAATTTACTTCTTCATTCTTACTTTGATTCTTGCAATAGTTAATAAATTAATGCTAGTGAGGATAGGACTTTGATATTATTTTTTCAGTGACTAAATGATACACATTGTAAAATTTCATGTACTCAATGGTTATGAAACCTCAGTGCAAAATTTAAGTGTATCTAGTACCACAATGCCATAATTGATTTTTAAAAAAGTCTCAAGTAAAATATATTTCTCGTTCAATTGAAATATGTGTTTGCTGTAGATATTAAGTTGATTTTTAAATTCATTGGCTTATCCAGTTAGGTCATGGTTAGTACCAGTGAATCTTCTAACTTACGAAGGTTCCTTATAGTTAAGCGACCGCATGTCCTTGTTTGCATGGGATAATGTTGTCTTTGTGAAGATGATACTTCTTTCTTTTGTTCATGGAAGTATATGGGTTTGGAGTGATAAATTATATTGTCGCCCTACTTAGTCCCAGCCATCACAGTGTTACTGGCTTAGTTTCAGCATAGAATGGTAAAACACTCTTACTGCTTTACAAATTCCTTCCATATATTTTTCATGCCTTTTATGTTTGTGGACTCTAGGGACATTTTACTTCGCTTCCAGCTGGTAATGGAATGCCAGTGGAAACCTCTAGCTAAAGAGTGAATTAATAAGAGAACTTTAGAAATGACCAAAAATGTACATAATCAATACATGTTTTACTATACTATAGGAGGGCAGGAATTTTGACTCTTTTATTCGCCTTTGAATACTTAGTACCTTGCACAATGCTTGAGTGTAGTAGAGATTCAATAGTGCTGGTTGAACAAATAAGCAATTTAAAAACTTACCCATTATTTTTAATTTAAGAAAATTGAGATTTCTTCACATACACAAGTTTCTTCCTAAAGATATGAAGACACTCCATGACCTCCACTGGAATCATTGTTTATTAAAGTATTTCTCAAACATTGTTTGAATAAGGATCGCTTGACATTTGGCCAAAAATTCAAACTCTCAGATCCTGCCCGTGAGAGTCTGGCTCAGTAAGTCTCGAATGGCTCCAGGATATATAATGGACATCCACATCTAGCTAGTTCGATGTCTCCACATCTGAAATTTTTGTTTCACTTTGTTTTCAAAAAGACATTTGCTTGACTTCCTACTGGGCTTCCCGTCTTTCTACAAAGTCACTAATTATGGAGAGAATATCAGACTGAAAGGAAACTGGGTCCCATGACACAACTAATTTTATCACTTCCCCTCTCTGGACCACAAATTTCCTCCATCTTAAATCAACAAGCCCGGACTAGAAGATCTTTCAGACTTCCTGCAACTCTATTATCAGGTAATTCTTATCTTTGAAACTTGACAGATATCTGGTCAGATAAAAAATGCTGCATGAGACATTTTTAACAAAAAAGTGTAAGTATCTTGTCTTTGTTGCTTCATTTGCCAGTAAAACTATCTATGGATTAATTACTACTGAAAAGATAACTTTCTGCACCAATTTTATTTGGGATTCCCTGGACACGCGTTGGGAGCTGATTGATAACTTTTCATTTGAGGTAAAAAGTTATTTCCAATTGTCTTTTAGATCCTGCTAAAGCTATTCCTACAGATAATAAAAAAAAAAAATCCCTTTGTTTTTTAGTAAAATACATAAAAGTTAGAAAAGCTTCACCTACCCATGTGTTCTGTTACTAAATTCTAAGCAGGGTCATAAGTAATCTTCTGCAAACTACGCCGAATAGATCCCACATGGAGGGAAGAGAAATGGACCCTGGTGAATACCTTCACAGAGACTTGTTCATCAGATTAGCTACCTGTATTTTGGCGCTTCAGGAAGTAAGCCGGGTTAGACTAATTTTTTTCTAGAAGCAGAGAGAATGAATTGAAAAAGTTTTAGAGCTGGGGAGGAACCCAAGAAGTCAGGACTTGATGCACTCTGAGTCATGAGTGCCTAAAAGTCACTGCCAGTAAGAGGGGAAAGATGTTGGCATCTGGTTAGTAAAGGAGCAACAGCAACATTGGCTTATTTCAGAATATGTCTTGGGCTATTGCTGATGTTGGAAGGAAGGGTTCTGTGAAGTGATGTGATGGGAGGGAGAGGGAAGAGTTGTATGCTGGCAGTTTCTTTCTGCTAGACAGGCTGCCCCACGGAATAGTCCTGAGAGCTTACTCTCAGAGGTGGGATTGATTCTCTTGTGTTCTTAGGTATTTGCTTAACACCCTACTTCTTCCTTAAGGTGGATCCCATATAAAGAATAATTATTTATTATTTTGTCTAATCCATACACCGATGTCTCATAGTGGACTTAATATTAGTCAACACAATTATTTCTCAAGGTTACAGCTATAAAGAGCAATGAATAAGCTGAAAAATGTTTCTGGGGTTGAGTTGGTGATATTGGCTGCTGAAAAATGGAAAGAAAATGTGGGAAATATGTAGTGAACATTGACCACTCTGAAAACCAGCCGGTGAGTATTGGTGGCATCGCTGTGGGGTGTTCTGATAGCTCAGCCTTCTTTTCAATATTTATAGAACTCTAATATTTTATATTAGAACATGGTTATTTCCCAAAAAGAATTCTTAATCAAAATTTGATATGGAAACCAATTTTCAGCTATTATTACTTATTAATTAGAATATTTGTATTTTTTCCTGCATAGCAGTGTATGCATAATTGGGACATTTATTTTAGCACTCACTCACTAAGATATCAGCAATTTTTGGGTAACAATTTAATAGTCTGTTGAAATAATTCTCTACAGCTATCATAATTCAGACATAAGCCAACACTCTGCATTTGATCACATTAACAAATTATGTTTTTAAAATGTGATATATAGATTTTCATGTTAACTGCTTAGTTTTTTAGTGTAATGTGTAGATTTGCCAGAACTCAAATATTTCTACGTATTTTGAAAGTCAGAAGATAATCTTGTAAGTAAAGTTTAGACCTAGGAATCAAAGTATCTAGCAAATTCTTTAGACTGGTCTCTACTTAACTATTTACGAATTTCTTTTCTTGGTAAAGAATTGTATTAAGGTGAATGTTAGAGTTCAGTTATATACAGTATTATTTGAATATAAAAGAAAAAAAATTAGTACTCTGTATTTTGGGATTGACTTTAATGTAACTGTGTGTGCCTAACTAGAGTCCTTGATAATTAGAAATAGAAATAGAAATGTGCTGAATGAAATCAGTATAAATTTGAATGGACGATTAGATTGTGTGATGAAAAATATTTCTGTCCTGTGTGCAAACATGGAATTACAGGGCAGAGATTGTTCTCTTGATTCTGGGTAAGTCCCTCCTCCCCTGAAGATGTTCTTCACAGCCACCCTTGCCTTGCAACTCTGTCGCTGTGTCTTCACAGTGTCAAGACACTCAAATGAAAAGGTCCCTTTAGGAAGAAATAAGTCGTCCTAAAGATTTCCTAGACAATGCTGAGAGTTTTCACATAAAGGACACAGATTTCGATGACTGACCATTTCACTTTACATCTGGATATTCGGACATACACTGAGGGCCACTTTTAATCCATTTTCACCAGTTGATTAAAATAGCAGGTGAAGGTCACATAAAAAAAGGATAATTTAGGAGCTTGTTTTTCTCTTTTAGAAAACACAAAATGGTAAATTAATCTCTTTTCAGTTATGAGCAAAGAATTAAAAATTATATTCCATGAACATAGCTAATGCATCTTAGATATATATACTGTAGATTATTGGCTTTTACCAAGAGCTAATTAACTATAATTCATAGATCTCCAACTGCTCAAAACTTAAACTTTGAGTCATTCACTTGTATTAAGATAGAGGGGAAACTAAGGCACTGAGGGTTATTCTGCCCCCAGAGCTGCAGTATCGTGGCTCCCCGCTCTCAGTGTAGACACCCACCATCTTTCTTCATTCAACTCTGGCAAGCTGGTATGGCCAGTAAGCTTTTATTTAATTACAAAAGTTCAAAAAACATTCAAGTTTATCAGCCACGAGCAAACTGAATAGATGAATAATAGCTATAGCAAAAATATGTAGAAATACAAAACTTTTATAAAATATAAATCTTTACAGTTTTCTCAAAGTTACCTATTTAAAAACCAACAGAAATTTGTTAAAGTGCCTGTGTGTATCACACCTTCTCTTAGTCACTGCAGAGCTGTTCTCTTTATCTCTCTGACCTGACATTGTACTTCCTGAAAAATAGACACTGACTAATTCTTTAGGCCCAAGTATATTCCTTCTTCACTGTATTTAATTCCAGTTATACCCCTTTTTATTCTTAGTTATAAAGCTGCTCAGTGACCGGTGTCCATACACATATTTAGTCTGATTGTTTTAATAGAACTTAGAGACTGAGCTAGCTATGTCAGTAGCCTTTTTAATAACCATTTAGGATTGGATATCTAATCAATATAATCAAGAGAGATTACATTTAAATAATGTTCCTATTGTCCTATGAGGGAAAAAAGTCTAGATAATTCTATAATATTTTTAATTATAACATATTTATATGTAACAATCAACACTCCCATGAGTATATAACACAGATTATTCTTCTTTTTCTTAAAATTGCATTTGTGTTACTTTTCTATTAACCTCACTTCAAAAAAAACCTAATTTCTCAAACCTTATTTAAATCCACCCTTTTAAGTCATTTACTTTTTAAAATTTGGAAATGTATTGAAAAGTTTTAAAGAATAATAGGCATCATGTACCAAACACCAAGTTTAAAAAATAAGGCATTACAGATACAGTTGAAGTCTTTTGTTTGTATCTTCCCAACATCATTCCATTTCTCCTTTGTGCTACCCATCCATAAAGACTACGGTGAATATGGCTGTACCCAAATGTCTTCCAGCTTCTGATTCTTATTGTATTTCTCTTGTCAAATTCACACAACTCTGTTAACAACCAATGAAGTATAGGATCTGTAAGAGCAGAAAATTTAAATAGAAACTAGAAGATGCATGTTGAGAGATGGCCACATTATTTGTTTCATGGACTGCCTAGTTCTGTTGAAAGGAGATGGTTTAATAATATTAAGGCCACAAGACCCATGTGGTGAAAAATATTAACTGTTTTGAATGTTAAAGTAACTTGCATTCCCAGGGTAGACCTCACTGGTCATGACTTTTTAACCCTTACATATTTGGAGGGTTAATTTGCCATCTTTTTGTTTATAATGTTTGTTTCAAAGTCAACTTTTTAGCTTCCTATGCCAGGCAGCCTCAAAGTCTGACACATGCCCTTAGTGGGGAACCAACCATCACTAACTACCTGTGTGAATTCTTAAAACATTCTCAACTTCCCAGACCACCTTTCCGCTAGCAGAATTTTATCTCCTAATCACTGTGACGCTGCTGGAGTCTTTACTCTGACTTCCCATTCTAGGCCTCCAGCCTCCTAAGCCTGTCTAGAACATTACAAAGGCCTCGTAATTGGGGCTCCTCTGTTTTCCAGTCATCCATGCCAGCGACGCACGGACACCAAAAGCTTTGCTCGCTTCTCTTGGTTGGCGGAACCTCAGCCCATACACAGGATCAACAAATGCCCCCCAAAGAGAAAATGGCTTAGGACTGCTAGACCGCTTCAGTACAGCTCTTTCAAGCTCTTTTAAACTTGAAATAATGTAATTCTCATTTCTTTCAAAACTCTTCAGTTCTTTTTATTGATTGATTGATTGCAGTGAGTGAAGTGGCCAATTGTAATTTACTATATATCCAGAATCTCCCTTCAACTCTTTAGATCTTAGTTTTTTTCATTTTGAGCATGACCCAAAAAAGTTGTTCTTGATAAGCTTTAAGGTCTCTGGAATTTTCACTGTGAGATGTTTTTCTTATATAATCTCCTTGTATCAGCTGGCCACGTAATAATATTTACCAAATTGCATTAAATATTATGAGGATAAATGATAATGTTTATTCCTGGACTTTACCATCCATAATTATATAAAATAATTAACTGTGCCTTATGATTACCTAGATTTCCTTGTTTTAAGAAGAAATATTATGAATGTATTCATTTATTCTTTCAGTCAGGCTTCAAATGAATTTATGTGATCAAGTGTGTCATAATAGATCACAATCTGGTTTGTATTTATCAGAATTATATTACTTTAGCCATCAAATATAATAGCTCCCACTTTTTCCGCATTCTTTTCTCTGTATAGCCACGTTTGTATACAAAAAATCACGAAGCTCACAGTTCAGCATGTTGGTTCCCAGCATCAACTGATGTAACTGGTGATGTTGATACCAATTTAACTACTGTCTGCACCAATATAGGGACCCTTGGGCCCTCAGAATTTCCAAGCAGAGAATTACAACATTGTCAGGTAATGTTTGGGACAACATCGTTTCTCTGGGTTATGCTGTAAGTCATGTGGAAATATTCTTGATGGGATATTTTAGAGGAAAACCATTCAATCAGTTAAAGATAACATTGTCCTTTGAAAATCCGCAGCATTCTTTAAACACGTCAGGTCACTGAGAGGGAATGCCAAGAGACATAGATTTATGGGACTCTTCCTTTAAAGAGTCAATGATTGTGATAGATGGGCAAAAATATATGCAATTTGGAGAAAATATATAAGGATCAAAGAAAATAAAGTTTTGGGCTCCCCTTTATTTTTGAGGCAGCAGGGTTTTTTTGCTGAGTAGGTGATGATAGCAAGTGCATTGTCAGTGAAATGACATTGTAGCCCTTGTTCAGGTGGGCAGTCATGTGTTAAGGCCTCAGGGCCCCAGGCTGTGGGTGATCTTCTGCCTCACTGTCCTTCCTTTTCTGCCTCCGAGACAACTGTGGGCCTTCTGTTAGACTTCCTAGTTCTGACTCTGAGTGTTTTCAACTTGACTTAGAAACTGGCATTATTGGTTTGTTATCCAGAAGCAGATTTCCCATATTCATGACCCTTTTTCTGGTTATTCTGTTTTCTTCACCTTAAGGTCTGATCTGTGAGTCTTCCCCCCACCACACACATACCCCGCAAGGTGAAAACTTGACTCATTGATGATGATGCTTGGCAGTTTAGTTTAATGCTTCTAGCTATGGACTCCACCCCTCCTCTGGTTAATCCCACTGTAGAGACAATTTGGAGAGACTCTGATAAAATAAAAGAGGATAAACTCTATATGTCAAGAGACTTTGTGGAAGAATGCTTTTGGTAGATAGGAATTATTTAGTGAACATGTCTCTGATGACCTCAAACAAAGCAGGCCAATCAGAGAGCCGAACATTATTTTAGATGCCTTTTACTTAGATGAAAAAAAGTGTAGTCTAGGAAGTTTAGAATGTTTTAACAATTATACAGCTAGTTAGTGGCAGTAATAGCACTGATCACAGGTCTCAGGTCAGGTTAACATGAGTTT